TTTTAAGTGTGAAGACCACTGCAGATCCCCAACACTTGAAATCCTTGTGTAAGGTCACTACACAAGGAATCCGTTTGTAAAGGCTGCTACACAAGGACTACAAGTGTGGAACGTCAGTCACAGGTCATCCTAGTTTTTCCTTATTCTCCCTGTGAAAACACATGCTTTTTCCTGTTTTTCCTGTTTTTCCTGTTTTCCTTATCTTTCCTGGGCTCAAGGTGCTGCCACTGCAGATCCCCTCACAATGAAAACGCTGTTGTAAGGCCGCCACAAAAGGATTCCCTTTGTAAAGGTTGCTACAAAAGGCTTTTAAGTGTGAAAGCCACTGCAGATCCCCCTCACTTGAAATCCTTGTGTAAGGTCGGCACACAAGGAATCATTGTGTAAAGGCTGCTCCACAAGGTTTTTGAGTGTGGAACGTCTGCACCATAAGAATTCCGACAGTCACAGGTCTTCCTAGCTGTTTCCTATTCGGTGAAAGCACAAGCTTTTTTGAAACATGTTTTTCATGGTTTTCCTCTTTAGCTTTCCTGGGCTCACGGTGCCGCCACTGCAAATCCCCCCACAATGGAATCCCTTTTTGTAAGGCCGCCACAACACGAATTCTTTTGCAAAAGGCTGTTGCAAAAGGATTTTAAGTGTGAAGACCACTGCAGATCCCCAACACTTGAAATCCTTGTGTAAGGTCACTACACAAGGAATCCGTTTGTAAAGGCTGCTGCACAAGGACTACAAGTGTGGAACGTCTGCACCACAAGAATACCGACAGTCACAGGTCATCCTAGTTTTTCCTTATTTTCCCTGTGAAAACACATGCTTTTTCCTGTTTTTCCTGTTTTTCCTGTTTTCCTCATATCTTTCCTGGGCTCAAGGTGCTGCCACTGCAGATCCCTCCACAATGAAAACGCTGTTGTAAGGCCGCCACAACAGGATTGGCTTTGTAAAGGTTGCTACAAATGGTTTTTAATTGTGGAAGCCACTGCAGATTCCCCTCACTTGAAATCCTTGTGTAAGGTCGGCATATAAGGAATCCTTTTGGAAAGGCTGCTCCACAAGGATTTTAAGTGTGGAACGTCTGCACCACAAAAGTACCGACAGTCACAGGTTATTTCCATGTGGAAACACATGATTTTTCATGTTTGCTCCTGTTATGATGTTGCTTATGATGCAGATGATGATGATGATGATGATGATGATGATGATGATGATGATGATGATGATGATGATGATGATGATGATGATGATGATGATGATCTGATGCTGTTGCTGATGCTGATGCTGATGCTGATGGTGATGGTGATGGTGATGGTGATGGTGATGGTGATGGTGATGGTGATGGTGATGCTGCTGGTGGTGAGGATGCGCAAATTGCGAGACAGGAGGGCCTCGCAGCGTTCCCCTCTCCCGGCCGACCCCCTCCACCCAACCCTCGTTAGACCAATTCTACATCAACTCAATCCGGTCGTCGAGCCCCTGCTCGAGCCATGGGGGAAGCGGGCCCCGACGTTCCTCCGAGCTCGTCCCGGGGGAAGAGGCCCCGCGGTCCAGGACCCGCTTCCCTCGGGACCCGCTTCCCCCCATGCTAGGATGAAGTCGGGCCTGTCCCTCCACAGGAGGAAAATTTCAAAATAGTCATAACATAGTCTTGGGACTACTTGTTTTGGACAATTTTTTTGAATATCCTTTTTTGCATATTTTCAAGTTTTCTTCGAAAATCCGCCTGAAGGGGGACATGCCCGACCCAATGCTAGGATTCGATGAGATTTGGACGGCTCCGGCTTCCGATCCGGTTGAACTCCGGATCCCGATGTGGATTCCAGCTCCTCCATGGAGGCCTGCTGGCCTGCCGATCTCCGCCGATCCGACTTCTCTCCCGGCCCAGCTGCCGATGTCCGCCGATCCGACTTGTTTCGATGGCCAGTCCGACGTGTCGATTCGATTCTGGGCTCCCCTCGCCCTCCACCTTCCGCACCTTCCGCGCGGCAGGTGCCGCGCCGCGGCGGACGCCGCCGCCGCCGAAACCGCTGCTGCGGCCTCGGCGGAAGCCGCAATGGCGGCCGCGGCGGCGGCCGCCGTGGCCTGGAACCTGCCGCGCGGAAGGTGCGGAAGGTGGAGGGCGAGGGTCTCCCGGCGAAGACAATCAATCGGGGGTTGCTAAAGGTGCCCCTGGCTTTCCGCTCGATTCTGGAGCCCCTGGGGCCCTCTGGACTTCGTGAGGGTTGCTCTGGATGCCGTCGGGGCCTCCTTCGAAATCCTGGGGGCACCTTGGGTCTGGGTTGCTTCTAGCAGCTCCCGAATCGATTTGGGCGATCGGAGCACGCCGATACAGTGTTTGGTGGCAGCGGGCCAGCTTCTCTTGTTCTGCGGGGCTCCTCCGAACCAAACCGACGACCCACGATGTGCATGCAGACGGGTATCAGGAGGGGAAACAACACACAGACACAATTAATCGTCCACTCCCAGGAAAATATGGGAAAAGATGGGAAGTGGGGGGAAGACAAAAACCCAGAACACATGGGAAAATATGGGGGACCATTTTATTTGTGTGTATTTATTGGTGTGTCCTGGGGCCCCTTCAGGGTAGGGGAGCGCGTCTCTGACGCGAGCACCCCCCCCTGCCGTCTGGGCGGGGGGCTGCGGCGTGCGCGCGAGGACTCCAATGCACACGGACGGAGCGAGAGGCGGACGTCGTGCGCCGCCGCCGGCCTCTGGGGCGGCACGCCGGGTCTTTTGGGGAAGGGGTCGGGGCTTCGGGGGACCCCGTGCTGAAAAATGGGGGGCCCCA